TGTGTGTGTGTGTGTGTGTGTGTGCTGTGCGTGTTGTTGCGCCGGTGGCGCGTGCTTGCAGGGCCCGGACGCAGGCGCTCCGCGCCCCGCGGGTGGAGGGGGGCGACGCCGCGCAGGGCGCCGGCGCACGAGGGCGCGACCCAATCACCTGCCCCCCACCCAATCACCTCCTCCCCCCCTAAAAACACAATCAGGTCGCTCTGGGAGTGCGGGGGCGGCATGGTGGCCGACGGGCGCCTGCTGGACCTGATCCGCCGCATCTACTGCTTCGGCATGAGCCTGCTGAAGCTGGACGTGCGGCAGGAGTCGACGCGCCACAGGGACGCGGTGGACGCCATCACCACATACCTGGGTTACGGAAGGTGGGGGGGCAGGGGGCCGGGGGGGGGTGCTGCGTCGGGCGGTGGAGTTGCGCTTGTGTGCTCAAGCGTGTGTGTGGCTCAATGTGTGTGCACATATGTGTGTGTATTTGTTTTGCGTGCACATGTGTATGTACTCACATGATCAGGTGTCCACACATTCGGTCTCACCAGAACCGCTGAAACACGCACGGCACACGCACCTTCCGAACCACCGGCAACACCTCATCTTACCCCCCCCCCCACCACCACCACTCCCAGCTTCAAGGAGTGGGACGAGGACAGGAAGATCGAGTGGCTCACGGAGGAGCTCGCCACCAAGAGGCCGCTCATCCCCGCAGACATGCCCATGACGGACGAGGTGATCGGGTGACCTGGTTGGGAGCGAGAGCGGGGCCGATCTGGTGCCCAGGGGGAAGGGGGTTGCCGCGCGCGGGGGGAGTTTCGGGCCTTTGGCTGCCCCGACCCCGCGGCTTGGAGCCGGCCGCTCGGCCGGGGCCCGCGTGTTGGCGGGCGTGCCGCCGCCGGCCGCCCCAGCGGCTTGCGCCCCAAGCGGTCCGGCTAGCCGCCGCGGCGCGGCCGCCCGCGAGCCTCCCGACACAACGCGCACGTCCACCTGCGCCACACAAACACAATACTATGTTTTTTTGGGAGGCACCCGACCAAGCCCTCGACCCCAACCGACCACCGCCCCTTCTTACCGCCGCAGGTGCGCGAGGTGCTCGAGACGTTCCGCGTGGCTGCGCGCCTGGGCAGCGCCAGCCTGGGGGCCTACGTCATCAGCATGGCCCAAAAGGCCAGCGACGTGCTGGCGGTGGAGCTGCTGCAGAAGGAGGCGCGCGGCCAGGTGCGGTTTGACCGGGGTTTGACCGGGCTTGACCGGGGTTTGACCGGGGCCGGCTGAGGCCTAGCGCCGGCTCCTGTTAGACGCGGGCTCACACACAAGGGGCGATCGTGCGGATTCGCCTGTGCCATCTGCTTTCGCGTCGCCACTGGAGAGGGGCGGCGCGTGGATTGGGCAGCACTCCGCGCCGATCCAGCGTTGGTATCCCTCCTCGCCCCGGCCCCGCCTTGCCTCGGCCCGCCCAGGTCGCTGCGGAGACGGGCACGCGGCCCGACGCGTCGCGCAGCCTGAGGGTGGTGCCCCTCTTTGAGACGCTGGACGACCTCGACGCGGCCGGGGAGGTGCGCAGGGCCCAAAAAGCGCACCCCACAAAACCGCAACCTCGAAAAGCTCACCAGATGACGCGCTCGATTGGCGCGGCGTCCCCCGGCGTTGCTGGGCCCTGGCACGCACCTGCCCGCCGGGCTTCCCGCTGGCCGTGCCTCCTCGTCCCGCGTGTCTCTCAACACGATGTTGGTGAAAGTATGTAGCTGGTGGCGAACATAATATCTAGAATAGGATGCAAGTTTCTCGGCCTGCCGCCTCCCCAGGAGCTGATCACGACACCACCCGCCGCGCTGCCGTCATCCTGGCCCCGCGACCGCAGGTGATGACGCGGCTGTTCAGCAACGAGTGGTACCGCGAGCACCTGCGTGTCAACCACGACCACCACCAGGAGGTGATGACGCACCAGGGCCCTCCTGGCGGGGGGGGGAGGGGGGCTGGGG